GGGGGGGGAGGTACAGCCAGAGTCTTGTTACATAGCATCGCCTAGCCTAATACTAGCTACGTAGCTCAGCCTTGAACTGGCCTTGAACTTGGGACGGTCCTCTTGCCTCGGGCTCCGCGGCGCTGGGGTCACGGGTGCGCACCATCGCACGCACCCCTCTATTGAGGTTTTCAAACCTAGTCTAAGGCTGCTCAGCAAGAACGTGGCGGAGCCACATCGCCAGCTTTCCAAACACACCCACAAGAACGAGAGTGGTGTGAGACACACGGGGGGAAAGAAAACTCCAGAACAATCAGAGAAAACAGACACAGTGGAGCAGCCAACTTACCAGCGTATTTTGTTGTGTTTGACTCATCCATGGACCAAAAGCAATAATCAAAGGCAAACACCTAGATGAAAGAACAAAATAGTAAGCTTAGAAATGAGCTCCGTCTGGAGAGGGAAATCAGGCTGGGGAAATACTCGATGAAGGTGAGAGGAGACCCGTTAATACCCAATAAATGAAACAGCGGTGGTTTGGGTGCAACTCCCTACAGTTATGAATTCATATGGAAACTACTGTTTATCCAGAATTCTAACAGGCAAACATATTAACTTGTGGTTTATTAAAAAATATATTTAATAAGAGTCCCCTTCCCCCTCCAAGTCTAGTAGTGTGCATGGAAGCCTTTAAACTGGCTCTCCCATACCCTCTCGGGTAACATTATACAGGTAGATTTTTACTTACACCCGTTCCTTCTCCTAGCTCTCCATGCTACCATCTCTAGCACAGAGAAGGTCACCCCCCCCCACACTTCACAATCTGGGGTTCCCTCCCGTTTTCCTCACTGTTACAACATGCCATCGCTGGCTGAGTATTGCCAATAACTCAAGCACCTGCTCTTGCAGGCACTAACCCCCGACGCAGGCACTAACCCCCGACGCAGCTCCGGAGTGCTGACTCCTCCCTGGCCGCGGTCCTTCCACACAAACACCTGCGCTCTAGCATCATCATCCAATGCACAGAAAATACTTCCCAGACTGTGTTCAAGGAACACGAGTTCCGAGGGGTGGTCCATGTGAGAAGATGAAATCACACTGAAGACTGCACACACGAACTGCCCTGTTTCCAATTCCCAGGGCAAAAGCTTTCGGAGGTCCTTCAGTAAAGCCCCATTTACATGTGTGGCCTTCTCGATTCTCGGGATTCATTTTTGGGGAACACTCATAACAAACAGCTTTAGCCTCAAAGTCACAGCTCTTGGGGATGGCTCCACAGCCTCTTTCTGAAGCTGCACAGGGTGGCTTTTCACCTGCACACGGATCCTCCACAGCTTCAACACCAGAAGGGACAAGCGCTGAGTAAACGCAGCCAGGCGGCCCAGACTGGACAGGACCAGCTCCTTGCCAACCACTTCCCTGTTCCCTCCCGCCCCCGGGGAGCGTGTCCTCTTGGAATGACTAGTCACAGGCCCACTCTCTTCTCATTTTCTTTATTTCTACCCTTCAAAATGTTTCATATTGGCCGGGCGGTGGTAGCACACGTCTTTAATCCCAGAACTCAGGGAGGCAGAGGCAGGTGGATCTCTGTGAGTTCGAGGCAGCCTGGTTTACAGAGTGAGATCCAGGACAGCCAGAGCTACACAGAGAAATCCTGTCTTTGGGGGAAAAAAACCACAAACAAACAAACAAGCTTCATACTGAAGGTGCAGCTCAATGCATTTTCCTCCAGAAAACGTTGTTTGGTTACAACCAAAGGACACACACACACACACACTTTTTTTTTCTTCTCTGAAATCTCACAACACTGCTGAATCCTATTCTCTGCTCCTACCCCAATTTCTTCTGTTATCTACTAATCATGACACAGGTCTGCCCAACCTTTTGATATAGCAACATGCCACTGTCACCAACAAATGTGTTGGGTCAAATCCCCAGGTTGGACACACAGGAGGATGATCTGTGAATGTTCCAGCTTCACTTGCACGGTAAGTTCCCTGAAGGCAGGAACCAATCTAATTCATCTTTGAAGCCTGCGATATTTATATTCATTGCTTTGGAATTATTTATCGGATGATTAATGGCATTGAAACTTTGCAAGGGAGCAGGTACTTTTTATATTATAAAAGCCTTTATGGCTTAGCAGATAGAGTGCCCAATGCATCAGCATGAAGACCCATGTAAAAAGCTGGATGTGGTCCCCTGCACCTGTAACCCTAGCAACGGAGGGTGGGTACAGAGTCAGGACAATGTCTGGGGCTACCTGCCAGCCTAGCTCCAGGTTCGGTGAAAGACTGTCACAAAGGAATAAGGGAAAGTGATATGCCACAGCACACATACCTATATTCATCCCCCTCCCTCTTTCCCACCTCCCTCTCTCATACACACACAAATAAAACAAAAAGTAAAAATCTAATTTATGCTTACAATAGTTTCATCACCACACACAGATTTGGGCATATACAATACACATAATTTAAACCACTGACTCCAGATTCAAGTTTGATACTGATATACCCACAAAACAAAACAAAACAGAACAAAACTTTCAAATGAACAGCTATGAAACAATAGTTTCAGTTAACAAAGTAAAGAATGTTTACTACCTTCGAGAGTCCCTTCGAGGACTCAAAAGATCACACAGGCATACTCCAGCTAATCTTTCTGCCTCTGGGCAAGACTGAACTTCAACACTGCTCCCAAGAGGTCTGTGTTGTTTGAAAACATTTCCAGAAATGGAGATTCTACGATTCCCCCTTCCATGAACTCAGATAATATTTATCTTTCACCTCAGGGCATCTGCCTTGTTTTCCACCTAAGTCAACTCTCCAGCCTTACTGCAAATGGTCAATAGAGGCCATTTTCCAGTTTTTAATATCTTGACTGCTACCCTCTGGATCAATGAGTCTCTTTAGTAGTTCCTAGACAGAGTGGCAGGCATAGCCACCTCTGACTGACTTTTAACACTTTGCTGTCTTACATACCGAGGTCACCAATCTACTGGTCTCCGTATGCATGGCCACTACTTGAAATAAAATGAGATCCAGTCCAAGCTGGAGGGTGCCCCTGCCAGTGACATCATTGCCCATTCCACAACACTTTCTAACAGTTAATTACTTGAAGTTGTTTCTTCAAATAAAAATAACACGAAAATTCATTTTCCAAATTTCCCCTTTAAAGTCTAGACAAATATTAAAGTGCTACCATGGGATGAAGGGTCTCTGAAGGCATTGCAAGATACAGGGGTTCTTTGCCTGTCAGACACAGACCTCTCCTTCAGCTGTGCAATGCCCTGAATCTCACAACTGTTGGTCCTAGGCGCTTTAGAATAGCGATCCCTCAAGCCAATTATGGAACGTAGGCTTTTATTTTTATCAACATTTATCAGGAAGAAGTCTGAAGTCTGACTCATTTCACTGAAACTCAACGACATCATATAACATACTAGAGAATGTATCATTTTAGGACTAACTCCCTTCACTGGAGCTCCCTAAAGTCTTCTAATCACTCATTGAGAAGTTGAGTGCATCCTAACTGCAAAGTGGGTGATGGAAAACATTCAGAGCCTGGATACAACTGAGCAAATATATATAGAGAGAAGCTGGGTGTGGCAGCTCACACCTGCGACCCCAGCACTTGGGAGGCCGAGGCAGGAGGATTGCCGCAAGTCTCAGGCCAGCCTAGGCTACATAGTAAATTCTGGGTCAGCCTGGGATAATAAGTGATAGCCTCAACAACAAACAATGACCGTTTTGTTTCATCACTGCGAGCGACACCAGCTAGTCACAGCTTCCAACTAGCAAACGAGCCAAAGGTACAGGCATTCTCCAGTTATTTTTAAAATTAGAAAGTCATTGTCTTCAGCAAAATCCCACTCTTCCCTCTCAGCTCCCCATGTGTGAAACTCATGCCAGCACGGAATTCCTAGCAGCCTGCTGCACATCTGCTCCAGCTCCATCGGGCCCTTAAAAAAACATAAGCTCTGCATTTTTGCGAACCACTGAGCATCTAGCAAAGCTGCTAAGGCTGTTTTTAATAAGGCACACTCATTGAGTGACATATATCCCGAAGTAAGGAGGTTCCAGAATTTGTGAGCAGCATGCCGTACAAACTCCCTGCCTATTGAGAACTGTGATCTCTAATGGCATTTCAGCAAAATTCAATTGTGGTTAGAAAGAAAAAAAAAAAACCTGAAAGAAACAGCCTGCATATTCTGGGGAGAAGCAGAAGGCATCAGCGTTCTGGGAAATGTGGTCTGCAACCATTTTTCTAACCCAGAAAATAATGTGAGCTATGGCGGTCCAGGCCTGTAATTCTAGCACTTGGGAGGCTGAGATAGGAGGGTCGAGAGTTTGAGGCCGGCCTGGGCTACACAGAGAAACCAAGACCCCAGCTCAACAAAGAAATAAAAGCCAAATGGGAAGGCACTTCAGCTGTATGGAATCTGTGGCATTCTTCCTTTCCTTCCTTCCTTTTTAAAAAAATCTGTATTTTATTTTATGTGTATGACTATTGTGCTTACAATGTGTAAGTGCACCATGTGCATGTAGTACCCCAAGAGACCAGAAGAGGGCATCAGATTCCTGAGGAACTGGAATTACAGGCAGTTGTAAGTTGCCTGATGTCGGTGCTGGGAACTGACCTCAGAACCTGGATCTTCTGCATGCGTAGCAAGCGCTTTCAACTGCTGAGCCATCTCTCTAGCCGCTCGGTGGCCTTCCTTGATCCCATCTAGTTTTGTGCCTTCACTAAAGTCTCCAACTGCAATATATTTTCTTCAGGAAACAACCAGACCCAGCCGTCACTCTCAGTTTGTCTCAAATACGTGTCAGTTACACAGTCTGTTCTGTAGTTGCTTAAATCTAGCTAAAAATATCAAACAACTGGGCATAGTGGTGCACTCCTGAAACCCCAGCACTTGAGGTTGAGGCAAGAGGATCAGTAGTTCATGACCAACCTCACCTTTGGGACACTGGCCACCCATTCCTCAAACAACAAAATAGAAAATAATTATTCTGGAAAAATTCATGTGCTGTTTTCAAAATAATTTTAATTTGCCTTTCATCCCTTTCCCAGGTGGAAAATGATTAATCTAAGGCTTATTATGACATAATATTAAATTTTACATGGAGAAAAATTTGGAAAGCAAACATCCATTTTTGTAGCCTGAGTCTAAGTCTGTTTCAATTTTCCTTTAACTATTCCAATGTCATCTTAAATGTCATTCCTTTATGGAAGCATATGATGATGATGATGATGATGTGTGTGGATGATGTGTGTGTGCAGGCCCATGTACTACACAGCACACTTGTGGAGGTCGGAAAACACCTAGTGTGGATCAGTGATCTTCTGCCTGTGCCTGGTCCAGAATTACACTCACATAATCCGGCTTGGCAGCAAGCACATTTGC